TAAATGTAGCTAAACTGTTAAATGTAGCTAAAAAGTTAAATATAGCAAAAAAGCTAAATGTAATTAAAATGTTAAATGTAGCTAAAAAGTTAAATATAGCAAAAAAGCTAAATGTAACTAAACTGGTAAATGTAGCTAAAAAGCTAAATATAGCTCATAGTATCTACACAATGGCTGAGGGGGTCTGTCTTTCAGGCTGTTTCTGGCACATGGCGGCCATCTTGAAAGCCGCCATATTGGATCAGGGGCGGGTTTTTCCAAAGGAAAAGGGGTCATGTAGCATATCAAAGAAGGGAGGAATAGTCTCAGAAAATCAACTGATGCCTGAATTTAGATGTTTAAGGAGCTTGACTCGCAGGACAGAACAAAAAAACAGATGTTGACTAGTTTTCTGTTTCACGCCACTTTTCAGTATGGAGTCAGTATGGAAGGAAAAAGGACTCAGATCAGCTCAGTTTTTGATCTGTTAGACTGTTTTGAACTGTTAAATGTAGCTAAAAAGCTTAATGCAGCTAAAAAGCTAAATGTAGCTAAACTGTTAAATGTAGCTAATAAGCCAAATGTAGCTAAACTGTTAAATGTAGCTAATAATTTAAATATACTGTAGCTAAAAAGCTAAATGTAACTAAACTGTTAAATGTAGCTAATAAGTTAAATGTAGCTAAAAAGTTAAATGTAGCTAAACTGTTAAATGTACCTAAACTGTTAAATCTAGCCAAAAAGTTAAATGTAGCTAAACTGTTAAATGTAGCTAATAATTTAAATATACTGTAGCTAAAAAGCTAAATGTAACTAAACTGTTAAATGTAGCTAATAAACTAAATGTAGCTAAAAAGTTAAATGTAACTAAACTGTTAAATGTAGCTAATAAGTTAAATGTAACTAAACTGTTAAATGTAGCTAATAAGTTAAATGTAAATAAACTGTTAAATGTAGCTAATAAGTTAAATGTAACTAAACTGTTAAATGTAACTAAACTGTTAATATTAGCTAAAAAGTTAAATGTAGCTAAACTGTTAAATGTAGCTAAAAAGTTAAATGTA